GAGAGAGAGAGAGAGAGAACACACATGGCCGGCAAGCCACTCCCACCAGGTCACATGGCCGGCAAGCCACTCCCACAAAGGAGGCCACACCCACAGAGTAGGTTCGGAACAATTTTTGAAACCCACCACTGGCTCACTTACATTTTGCATTTTGCTTGACTGAGCAGAGCAGACCGCTGACATTCAGCAACCTCTGAGCTTGTGGCTTCTCTAAAGTAAATTGGTCTTTGGGGTTTTTTGCTAGATACAAAAGGAAGAGAAGGAAATCAGGAACAACATCCAAGCAGTTATCCAGAAACAAAAAAATCATACAATTTCCTCTCCCCTTTTTAAGGCATGTTGTATAACACACCGTAATGTTTCTTGGGCCTTTTTCTCAAGCAAGTCATGACATATTTCTCCAGTGCCCGTAAAGTTGAAGCTTGGAGAGCTTCAAAGTCTATTTCAATTTCTTCAAGATTTGAATGTCTCAGTGATGGCTCCCTTGACTGAATGATATACACGACTCTGCCAAGTTTCTCCCCTGGGAGTTTATTTATGTCTAGGCTTAATTGCCTCTTTTCATCATAACTCATTGGCTTGGCAGCATCTTCCTCCTCGGTCTTGAGTCCTGCAAGTTCTTCTTGCTGCTGGCTTTTCTTGGAATGACTGCAAGAGAGAGAATAAACAATCATTAACTCTGGGACCAGCGGCTTTTGAGTACAAATCCATGCCAACAAGCAGCCTTACAGGTTCAAAGCCATTTTTTTCTTCAGCTGCTTCATTTTTCTGCTTTTCTGGATCGTGGGCTGGATTCTGGCTTTGCTTTTCCTTTTTTCCTTCTTAAATTTCCCTTTCTTCTTCAATCTGGGCACGGTGGTTTTAGCCAAAGCTTGCAATTGCTGGTGAACAGCTTTAAGCTACAGAGAGAGGAACGGGAAGAGGAACATGAATTAAAAAAAAACCTGATTTGTTCAAAGTTGCAAATTTTCTGTGAGATTTCCTGAGAGTGCTCTAACCTGAGCAGTGGTGGGATTCAGCCGGTTCGCACCTATCCGGGAGAACCAGTTCTTAACTTTCCAAGCAGTTCGGAGAACCGGTTGTTGGAAGAAATCTCATTTTGTCCCCACCCCACCCCACTTTACAGAACTAATCCTGTAAGGAAGGCAGGAAGGAAACATTCTAGTGTTGTTTCTAGCCTAATCTTTATTGCCCTGCTTACAGAAACTCTCCAGTTAAGAGCCGAGGTGGCGCAGTGGTTAAATGCAGCACTGCAGGCTACTTCNTTCCCCACCATCCAGTCGGAGCCGAAGAAGCTTCTTGGATGAGAAGCGAAACCTCTTCAGAGAAAAACCAGAAAGCCCACTTGCCTCTTAAAAAAGCACCTTTGGCACCTGGGATGACCGAGAATCTCCATAGACATTACAGTCTTTGTTAAAGGTACAGACAGTCCTTGACTTACACACCACAATTGAGGCCAAAATTTCTGTTGCTAAGCGAGAAGAGTTGTCAAGTGAGTTTTGCCCCATTCAGTTTCTTGCCACCGTTGTTAAGTGAATCGTTGCGTTTCTTAAGTTAGTTGTACGGTTGTTAAGTGAATCTGACTTCAGTGCTATAAGGGAGGGGGATTTGTGGATAGGGGGAGGAGGAGGAGGAGGAGGGAAGGAGGGGGAGGAAAAGGGACTGTAAGGTCCTTGGTGTTCTCTGTGCTTAATGGTTTTCTTGCGGACGTTTCATGACCCAACTAGGTAACATCATCAGTGCTAGAAGGGTGTGGGGTTTCTGGAGAGGAGGAGGAGGAGGAGGTGGTGGTGGTGGGCAGCGGCTACGGGGTTCTTGGTGCTCTCTGAGCTTGGTTATTTTCTTGCAGACGTTTCACGACCCAACTAAGTAACATCATCAGTGCTAGAAGGGAGTAGGGTTTGCGGTGAGGAGGAGGAGGAGGACTGGGGTTTCCTTGATGCTCTCTGAGCTTGCTTGAATATCTATGGAGATTCTCAGTCATAGTGGTCCCAAAAGTGCTTTTTCAAGAGGCAACGGTCCTCTCTGCTTTTTCTTCGAAGAGTTTTCCTTGAAGTCACATTTTTCCAGTGCCGTCGTAACTTGGAAGCATTGCTGAGTGAACTGTCGTAATTCGAGGGCTTCCTGCCTAGGGTTATTCATTCAATCCTCTTGCCCTTGTCTCAGGGGAAGAAATTTTGGGGCGACCTGCTGACCGATGGGAAGATCGCTTGGCAACAAACCGGGCAGATCTTTAACTCCCCCAGCGCCTGGGCCACCTACTGTAAGAAGCTGGTCAACCCTGCCAAGAAGTCCGGTTGCGGTTGGGCCTCGGTCAAGTACAAGGGCCAGAAGCTGGACCAATACAAGGCCATTTGGCTGAAGAAGCACCAACCCAACGCTCCCCCTGCGGAGGAGGTAAATCCTTCTGCTCTGCTTCAAAACCTCCTTCCAGAATTGGGTGTTGGTTTGTTTTTTTAAAGTTACCGTAGTTTCAAGTTTCCGGAGTATAAGATGCACCTTTTCCCCCCACCCCACCCAAAGAGTGTGGAAATGTTGGTGCGTCTTATACACCGAATACAGCCATTTTTGGCCTCCCGAAAACCCTGCCCTTGATCCCATTCTTGCGAAAAATGGGGCATTTTTCAAAAAGACAGAGGCGTTTTTGCCTCCCCCTAGCCCCCAGCAACACTCTGCAGGCTTCAGTGGCGCTGGGGGAAGGCAAAAACGCCTCTTTTTTTTTTTTGCAAAAAAACAGCCCATTTCCCGCAAAAATGGGGGTGTTTTTGCCTTTCCCCAGCCCTGCCGAAGCCTGCAGAGTGTTCCTGGGGGCCAGGGAGGACAAAAACTTTTCCCCCCTTACTTACCGCTTCAAAATCTTGGTGTGTCTTATACATCGGTGTGTCTTATAGTCTGAAAAATACGGTAATTTTTTTTGAAGTTTCTAGTCCACAGGAGGTCAATTTGTGGCCTAAGCCTAATTCTAAACCTCAGCCGTTTCGGTAGCAAACTCATTCACAGCTCTATTTATTAGATTAGTGTTGAGTGTTGGTTGGCTATTTATTTATCCTAATCCTGTACTAGACAGGATTTCTAATGTTGAGTTTTCCTCCTTACCAGAGGGAGCCCCCTTGTGGAGTACTGTGAAGTTGTTATCATGGCAATTCCACTGAGCTGTACAGTAGAAGCCG